GTAGTGGTGGTCGGCGAGATGTGTAGCAAGGGGCGTGAGGATGGATAATGGGTGGACGGATGGATGGATGATGCAGATGTAGGTAGGTGTACGGCGTAACGTGACGCTGAGGAGTGTGTAAGGTAAGGTTGACAGAACTGCGTCTGTAATCGAAGTCGAGGTGTTTGATGACGGAGCTGCGCAAGCACCCGCGGACCTTGGCTGGTCTGGATGTACCCGTTCGTAGCAGGCTGGTGGTGGCAGAGAGAGCTGTCGAGCCCGAAGCAGAGACGGCGCCTGGCTGGTATTTGGCACCCGCAGGCGGGGTTGAATGGGGATCCGCTCGCTTGATCGTTCGCCAGTCCCCGCTTGCCCGCAATCTTTATTGACTTGATAAGACCGGAAACAGGCAGCGGTACTGGGGGGACTGAGCTTGGTGAGAGCGAAGGAGAGGGAGGGGATGCAAGTATGTGCCTCGTCAGTGGCCCGTGAGAACCTGGGAATAACAACAGGATGGTGACGAGAAGTTTCTGACAGGGAGCGCCGGGTTGAGGTTGGAGGCTTTTTGGGGTTCGATAGGGAGGGTGAGGGGGGGGGGTCTTTTGGTGGGGCAGACAGACACTGGCGTGGGAAGGAGGGGTAAAATCCAACCTGGCCTGGCCTGGGTTTGGTCTGTTTGACGAGAGGTGATGCGCGAGGCACCCAAGGTGATGACCGCTTCGAACCTGCCTCGAAAGTGCCGCTGCCTCGAAAGCGTCGCTGCCTCGAAAGCGTCGCTGCCTCGCCCCTCTTGTTTCTGTATTAGCGCGGATGTGCTTGATGCTTCCTAGTCTTCCCCAGAACCCGGAGCCAACAAGCCATGTAAATAGGACAAAGTCTCGTTCAGCGGAACAACACGGGACGGGACGGGATGAGATATTCAAGGTCGACGTGGATAGATAGGAACGACGTACATGTAGACGGCCAGCCAGTGTCTCCAGCTGTGGTGGTAGGCTGGTAGCGAAAGATGGCCCGTCCTCGAAGCTTCTTTCCTGCTGAAGTAATCGGCACGAGGCTGGCGGGTGCGGAAGGCGCAATCCTCGCTGCTGTTGTTTTTGCCACCTGCTGTTTAGGTTCTGTTCCGCCCAGGTCGGCTTGAGGTAGACTCTAGTCTGTTTGCTTCGACCCGTGGACAGCAATTGTGAGAGCCATATCGGTCGAGTCTCGACACACACACACTCTCAATTATATAGGTACGCCGCGCCTTCACTTTGGTACATCTAATCATATTCCCCACTACGAGCTTCGTGCTTGCCAGCCGCTCAGCGATCAACCCCTATCGTATTGAACCGACATGCTTGGCCAGCTTCCCGGACACAGGGTGATCATAGCAATCGATATATCTCCCAGTTGACCTCAGCTCCCCCCCTCCCCCCCTCTCCCCGGACGCTGCCGTCTGACAGGCTATCTAGCATGCCTATCAAATCCTCTGTTACGAGGTGCTACGACAATACACTGCACCATTGGATCCAAGACATCTCAGGCCTGTCTGTTTTCTCTCTCCCGACTCGACGGTCCAACTACCTCGTAAAATGACCGCCACTTGCATTTCAGCCCACGACTGCCACTGAGCCCTTCCAGTCGAGTCCTCATAGCGCTCGTCCGGCGATCCAGAACCCCGCTAGAGTAAGGCGGCGCGTCCGCCGCGTGGAGAGCCCTGGCACCACCCCAAGACCCCAGGCCTATTGGGCGGCATGGATTCGTCTTGACCTCCAGCTGACCACGACAGGGTATTACTGATGGTTACAAGGGGGGAGGAAGAGCTGAGGTCAGCCCCCCTCAAGACCTGTCCGCCTAAGCTGCATCACCAGCGTCCGCCTTTCAATCGTCATAAGAGGCCACGATACTCGTCCTACCTCGCTTCGCTTTCACTGATGAAACTGTCATTAAG